TTTTTTTAGTTCACAGGCAGAAACTATAGTCACTCTTTCAAAAAAAAAAAAAAGCCACAACAATTTTTCCAACAATTTCAGGAGGTTCCTGGACTCCCTAAATACATCCTTGAACTCCTGAGAGGTTAAGATCCCCTTGATTTACAGGGAGTCCATCAAGCCATCAAGACAAGGAGGAAAAAAAGAACCCAAACATATAGGGGTTGCCCACCCAGCTACTCTCAAGGTGTCCTCCCTGAGTAGCAGCCAAGCACCTCACGTATCTTAGGAAACCATGTGGCTCTAATTCCATGGTTCTGCCTAAAGCCAATACCTCTGAATTGGTCTCCAATCCTGCTCCAATCTATCCCCCGATAGTGATTAAAATGATCTTCCTGAATCATAACTTTAATGAGAATAATATCAATAGTAAGAAATAGTATGTATGAGTGCTATATTGCAGGTATTATACTAGGTATTTAATATGCATCATTTCATTTAATCCTTACCATAACTCTATGAGGCAGGAGAACTCGAATTCCAGAGCCAGATTGCCTGGATCTCAAATCCAGCCCAGTTGCTCATTAGTTGTTTGACTTTCAGTACATTACTCAACTTCTCTGTATCCTCATCTGTAATAACAGTACCTAGCAGGTAGGATTATTGTAAGGATTAAAGGAATTAATACAAATCCAGTGGCACATAGTGAACTACAGTGTCAGCTATTACTACCATTATTTTCCAGATAAGGAAAGCAAGGCTCAGTTAAGCAATGCCACACACCTAATAAGTGATGAAGGCAGGATCCAAATCTAGGTTTTCTTGATTCCAAAGCCCATGCTTATAACCACTGTGCATTATTGCCTTTCCCCTGCTCTGAAACCCTTTCTGGTGGTTCTCTAGAACAGTTCTTGGCAATTTACAGCAATACATACTAAAGGGCACATGGTCTGAAGCCGTCCAGCCCTGCAATTTCAGCCATTTTTAAGCAACCCTGGGCCACCAGAAAAATCCCCTTTCCCCAACCTGCAAGCTCCTAGCATTCAAGATTGCCACACACGACACCCCATATACTTTTCCAACCTCTTTACCTACTACTCTTAAGCATACAGCTTTCCCTCATGCCGGTAGCTAGAGCTATTCCAAGACTCCTAACTTACATCCCCTTTTCTAGCCTTGCCCCTCTCCAATCTGTTTCCTACACAACACAGCAGCCAGAATGATATTTTAAAAATTCAAATCTGGTCATGTCATTCCTCAGCTTAAAACCTTTCATGGCTCCCTCTTCCTCTTAAAGTCCAAAATCCCATATGGCCTATAAAACCTTCATATTCTTGCTCCTGCCTGCTTCTGTAACCTCTTATTTAGCTTCTTACCCCCACTCCCCACTTCCATGCCACCAGCTTTAATTCCTACTCAGTTTTCAGGTCTTAGCTTAAATTTCACATCCTCAGAAAAGAGTGGGTTAAATCTCCTAATATATGACTTCATAACATCTTGTACTTTTCCTTTATAATATTTATCAAAATCATGAATAGTTTTTTAATAGCTGTCTTCCTCATTAGACTGTAAACTCCTTGAGGGCTTATGCATCTGTAACTCAGGCAATTAAGAATGCCTGGCATTTGGTAGACACTAAAAATTTGTTGAATGAATCAGTCCTTCGAAGATCAATTCCACATCCTACAACTAATACTGAGCTTTCCTTTTCTCAATTTGTAAAGCACAATTTAACATCTGATTACAGGGTTTTTTTTCATTCAACTTCATATACATCTGAGCATTGGATCAAAGACCAGAAAGTTCTCCTTTTTTTTTTCCCCGCTCTGGTACTAACTCTGTGCCCCTAGGCAAGCCCCGGTTCCTAAGCAAGTCCCATTTCTTCTTTGGTACCATGAGGTTACTTGTCCGACTCTCTTTGATGGGTGGTCATAAGGGAAAAATGAGAAAGCAGTTGTAAATAACACACATTTTTACTGGAGAGGGTGTAGTAAGTGCTCAAGTAAGAGGCGGTTGTTTTCTACAGGAGGCAGTGGAGAACAGCAGGTTCAAAGGACAGGTTCTGGTGTCAGATCACCTGGGTCTACATACTAGCTATACCACTTACTATCTAAGGGACCTAAAACAAGTAAGTACCTTAACTTCTCTGTACCTCAGTTTCCTCAAATGTAAAGAGGAACAGTATTACTTATCTCAGTGGGCTTTTGACAAAAGGAGATAACATATGCACAACACTTAGAAAAATGTCTAGCATGTATAAACACTCAGTAAATATTTGCAGTATTATCATTTTTATTGAAGAAGGCAAGAGCTGGACCTCTTCCTGTCTATTTCCAGCATACACTCAGGACAGCCCCACCAATGGCTCCAAGTCCTACCTGGCAGGAGGGAAACGGCTGACATCCCCTCTGATAAAAGTGAAGCATCGAAGGTTTGGACTACAGGACCAGGAAGCTGGGGGTGGAGCTGCCGTTTGGCCACTCTCAGGCCCCTGTTCCCCATGGGAGTGGGCTTTATTCACAAAGTCCCTGGCATTCAGCTGCTCCAGCTCAGCACTCACGTGATCCCAGGCAGCAAAGTTATTGACTAGTGCACCATACTTCTGCTCTGAGAGGAGACTGACCCGGATTGATGGCCAAAGATCCCCAAACTGCATACTGTAGGTCATGTCAAAAGTCTGCAGAGCTAGTCGAGTGGCAGGAAATTTGGGCTCTGTGGCAGCCTAAAAGGGAAAGAACAGGCTTACAGGTCTTCTAGTCTTGCCTCTATCCCCTACTGCCTGACTCCACCAATACCTCAGAGCCCCAGGGCAAATGTGGATCCAGTTAGTGCCCACTCCTGCCTCCGCACCCTGCCTCTGCCTGCCAGAAGAAGTGTAGGAGAAAAAGTAGTGAGGAGCTGGTCTTTCTATCTCAGGGTTGTGAGAAAAAGGAAGCTGTAACTCTCATGATAGCATGTGGGGGTTGCCAAGAAAGGGAGTGCTCCTTGAGGCCTTGCAATAAGAGGAACTTAAGAGAATGGGAGCTCAGGAGAGGACTCTTGAGGAAAATCTACAGGAAATTGGAAGAAACTATGGAGGTCTTGGGGGAAGCTTCAGGCTTAAAAACAAAAGACCCTTTCTCTCTGAATAGTCCTTCCATCTTCTAAAGCATTTTCATGTCTCCTAGCTTATGTGAGCACCACAAGACAGCTCAGTGGGATACAAAAAATATTAACCTTCCACATCTGATGGTGATAAGGGTAACTAACCTAAGGTCATGCAGTGGCCGACACAATAATTCAGTAACAGGGTTGAGGGTCATTTGGGGAGATTTCCTAGACCCCAGGAAAGTGGGAAAAGGGGAGCTCACAGAAACCTTGAGGTACAAACCAAAATGGGAACTTCCAGGATGAAGTTCTACTATGGGGGTAGCATAGAAGGACATCAGTCAGGCTTGAAGAGGATACAAGTAGATTAAAAGGAAAACGAAGACCTCAGCTGAGGAGTCCATAAGTTGGTCCTGGATGCCACAACTGGGAAGCTTACTATAGCTGGCAGTCCTGTTCCCATCTGTGAATTTTCCTCTGGCCTGAAATCCTGGCTTGGTCAGAACTCTTGCTCTGGCCCTCATTTCTGGTTATGGCCGGGACTCTTGCTCCGACCATGACTTCTGCTATGGCGGGGACTCTTGCTCTGGTTCCTGCTGTGGTGGGGACTCTCTCTCTTGCCCAGACTCTTGTCATGGTGGGGACTCTTGCTTCGGCTCCGGCTTTCGCTATGGAGGGCACTCTTGCTCGGGCCCTGACTTTTGCTCAACTGGGGACTCTCGCTCTGTCCCTGATATACTCCAAGTTGAAGACTCTCGCATTGATCCTGATTTATGCTTTGGTGGAGACTATTGCTCTGGATCCGACTTCTGGAAAAATGGAGACTCTTGCTTTCACTCCGAATTCTGCTAGGATGGTGGGGACTCTCACTCTGGCTCCGACTTCTGCTTTGATGGGTATTTGTGTTCTGGTTGTCACTGTTCTGGCATTCACTAGTAACAGCTGAACTACAGCTGGGATTAGTGCTACAGGTGGAACTCATGGACGAAGGCACAGGACAGCTGTAGGGGATCTTCAAGGACTCTTTGTGTGAGGCTCGAGAAGCCACAGAGTAGACATGGAGGCTACAGGGCATAGTACCAGGGTGGCACTGGGGTCGGGGGGCAATGGGTAAACTTTTGGGGTCAAAAGGTGTTCTCAAAGGGATAAAAGAATAGATATGTGTAGAACATGGAGGTGCCACAGGCTGGCAATAGGTTTGGGGTGGGCCCCTGAGAGTGCCATAGGTGCCACAGGGGGGCACCATGGGCTGGTTATGACACTGAGGGGGACCTGTGGAACCAGAAGGTGGGCAGGGATCAGGTGTGGGGGGAACCACAGAATATATATGGGTACTGCAAGGGGCTCTTAGGGGGGGTCCATGGGGGCAGCTCTGAGCATAAATACTAGGTAAGATAGGGTCACAAGGAAGGCAGAAGGGAAGCGAAGTGGGGATAACAGTTTTGAGGGTCCTAGGGACTAGGGTAGGTAAGGTAGTCCCTTGAGGAAGTTCTTTGGGGCAGGAATTTGAGCAAGTTGTGAAGGATGTCACCATACAAGAAGGACCAGAGAGAACAGAAAGATGGGAGGGAGGTATAGGACAGGTGCTGACCTTAGAGGGCCTGGATTGCTCAGCAGGAGTGTTCTGGGAAGGGGTGACCAGGGAGCGACATCTGTGGGGAGCACGTGACTGTTTTAACTGTGGGGATTTGGGGGACTTCTCTTGGGGGCAAACTGGAGTAAGGAGAGGGGGTTCATTATAGCTTCCACAGAGGGGTGACTGCGGTGTGTTGCCCTGGGGTGAAGGGGTGAAGGCAGAAAAAGGACAGGGAGAGGACAGGGGGAGAGGTGTTTCCTGGGGACAGAGGGGACCAGAAACCGGGGTACCAGAAAATAGGTAAGAGCGCCCACCGGCCTGCCAGGAGACAATGGACTCAAAGCAAGGCTTCCTGGGAGCCTGGGACTGGGGTGAGCAAGAAGAACCAGTAATCCCAGGTGGTAGGAGAACGACACAATAAGGACTCCCAGGGGCAGATATGTGGGTCTTTGGGGGGAGATGGGAATACTGATAGTCCTCCTGAGGTGAGCTGGGACAGTCAGCCGCACATGCCTGAGAAGAAAGTGGGGAGCCACAATTTTTCCCAAGGTGTTGGTCAAGCTGTGGTTTAGGTTCACAAGAGTCTGGAGGCTTAAGATGCCCTTGGTAAAACTGGCCAGTGGGTGGGGAAGATGCTGAGGAAAGCGGAGGATCATTATAACTTCTCCCTGAGGACCAGGGAGGGTCCAGAGAGGAGATCTGTGAGATCGCCAAAGCCCTGTGAGAAAGGGGTGGGGAAATTATAGGTCTAGTTTCCACGGGCGGGTGAGCAACGGGAGGTGAAATCATGAGGCCAGTTCCCTGACAACCATGAGTGACAGGTGAAATCGTGGGGCCAGTTTCCAAATACACATGAGTGAGTGGGGAAGAAACCACAGGGTTGGTTCGTGGGGGCCGATGAGTGAGAGGAGGGGAGGTCACCGAGCTTGTTACCAAGGCTGAAGAGTTTTCACCACAGTAACAGAGGTAAGTGTGGTGGTCAGTGTAAGGGCTTTGGGGACAGGGACGCGGTGTTCCCGCGGGACTGATCCCGCTGCAATGAGGGCTCCGCGGATGGAGAGGGGGTGACCCCTGAAGTCTGAACCCGTCAAAACAAGGGCTCGGAGGGGACGAACCCGAGACGACAGGCTCGGGGCAGCAGTGCCTTGCGAGGAGTGGAGAACAGGGTTGAAAAGAACATCTGGCCAGGCGCAGGGGAGGTTGTGGGGGCGGGGGAGGAGTCGGTCCGGGTAGGGAGCCCGGAGTATCGGTTATGGAAGAAATTCCAGCGCTCCCGGTGAGGCCAGAGAAAGGGTCTCTGGAGAAATGGGGAGAACCAAGAGGGTGAGAGGAGTCAGTGCACCATTTGCCCGGGTTTGGGGAAGGGCCGGAGGTATGGGCAGGATGGTCGCTGTAACCTTTCCTGGGCATCAGAGGCAGCTCGAGGGTGAGGAAGGGGTTAAATCCTTTCCCGGAGGGCGGCTGAGACCCAAAAAGGAAGGGAAAGTTGCTTTGACCTTTTCCGAGGGGTGAGGGCGGCCCGGCTGAAAATTCTTTAAGGAAAGGAGAAGAGGTCTTAAGGGGAGGGGGGAGAGAGGAAGGAAGGGAAGTGTGGGCCAAGAGGAAGGTAACCAGGAGCTGGGGAACAAGAAGCAATGACAAAACTGGGTGATGACGTAACTTAGAG